GGGGCCCGCGGACTGCAAGGCTAGGGCGTGCCCGTCTAACCTGGTGTCCCTGAGAGCCAAAGCGGCGCCCAGCCCTGTCTGCTGCGCGTAAGGCAGCAGCGCGGATGCAATGGCTGATGCGACTTGAGCAGAAGTCTGGTAGCCTGCGGCCTGCAATGCGGCTACCGCAGTTTCCGCAGAGTCCAGCCTGCCGTCCCGCACGGCAAGCAGGGAGTTGAGGCCTGCCGCGTCTGTGAAAGGCAGAAGCGCTGTGGCGATCGCGCTTGCAACTTGCGCGGCAGTTTGGTGGCCGGCGGCCTGCAACGTGGCGATGGTCGCCTCAGCTGCGTCGAGCCTGCCGTCTCGCAAGGCCAAAGCTGCGTCCAAGGCTACGTGTGTGACGTAGGTCAGCAGAGCCGTGGCAACCTTTTGGTCGACGTCTGCGGGCGTGGTCCTTAGAGCCACCGTGGTGTTCAGTTCTGTGGCGCTGGGCTTGTCCAGCAGAGCGGTTGCAATCTTCTGATCCACATCAGCTCCGGACTGCTTGGCCGCCAGATCCAAGGCCAACTGGGCGGTGACCGTTTGCAAGGCGTAAGTGCTTGCCACGGAGGCTAGCGTTGCATTGTTTGCGCTCGTAATGGCCGAGTTCATGCTAGCCGTTGTCGAGTAATTTTGGAGCTTCGTGTCCACGCTTGTCGGAGTGGACTTGCCGTTAACCTCCAGTTGCAGGGCGTCCAAAGCTGACTGGTTGGCTTTGCTTGCCAAGCCTGTGGTGAGGCTTGCGTTGAGCGCCGTTATGCTGCTGGTGTTCGCAGCAATGGAGCCCTCAGCCGCGGCCAGGTCGGCCGCCAGGGCGTAAGGGGCCAGGTCGGGTAGGGAGGGGATCTGCGTCTGCAGGGCGCTTATGGCCGCCGCATTGTTGGCTATGCCCGTGGTGTTGACCGAAATGGACACGGTGGCCAATTGGCCTGCGGTGATGCCGCTTGTCTCTGTGGTGCCCCCGTCATTTCATATATTTCCGGTTATGGTGCTCTCAAAGAGGCTCATGCTTTTACCTAGTCAAGGACGCTCACCCCGCCGCTTGACATGGTTACAATTTGGTAGCTGATTAGGTGGACATAGAGCCTCTGCGCCCGGGCAGGCCGCAGATTTTTGAAGGCGAAGCGGGCGAGATCGCCAGAGCGGGTGCTGATGCCGCTGAGGGGATGCTTCGGGACGCGTTCCACCGGGAAGGCGGCAATGAACTGAGTGTCCTCGTACTCCAGGCGGTTCAGGCGCATGTTCTTGATCTTGGAGTCGTAGGTGCCGGCCATGATCTCCAAAAAGTGGTGGTGTTCCGCAAGGCTGGCCATGGGGTACCGGGGGTACTGCAACGCCCCCAACTGCATCTGCGACTCCAACTGCCCGTGATCGCGGGGTACTCCAGGTTCATGACCTCGCCCAGGGCGTCGTCGTCGTCCCTGGGAGTGACGAAAGCACCCATGAGCTTGGTGTATATTTCTCGCCACCGTCACGTTGTGCTGCGCGCTGCCGGCGGGGATGGAGGAGACCTGCGTGTGCATAGTCGGGTAAGAGAAGACGAAGCTGCGGCCGGACAGGAGCACCTTGTTAAAGCTCTCGACCAAGGCGCTGTCCAGGGTCACCTGGGAGGCGAGCACTCGCACGTTCTCGATGTTGTAGCTGCTGGAGCCCGTGCCTCCGGGCCACAGGGCCTCTGAGGCATCCGCAAATTCGATTTCGAGCACAAGGTTCAGTTGAGGGGGGAGCATCTTCCCGGACTGAAACAAACCAATGAGGGTCGGCGGGATCAGCACGTCCCTGTGGTTGCCGTCCAGGATGGCGGGCGGGTTCCCCAGGTTCGTGGGATAGAAGCCCTCGTAGGCGCGGCCATTGTACCAATCTTGCGGCTTCAGGCTATAGAGCCAGCAGCATCGCCCGTACTCGCTGATATCGCCCGTGCGCTGACCATTGCTGAACAGCTGGACGCGCTTGATGAA